ACTATTTATTTGTGGCTCCCCTCTTGTTGCCCTGCTCCCCAGGTTCACTTACCTATTGTTTGTGACTCTGTTGTTTGCATTTCGTTAGTATTGTATCGCTAGTATTTGTTACTTGTGGATTTTGGTGGGGTTGCTTGTGATTACTTGTTTGTGGTGTGTCTAATAAACTGTAAGCACATAAGCATTGTCTGGTGTGGTCACACATTTGGTCCTCCCGCATAGATACCTGTATGCAGTGTGGGGACACCCGTGCATGGTATCCTGAAAAGAATATAAAGAGCTCCCATTCATAGGTAACTTGCACTTCTCGGTTGGCCCCCTTACTCCATCTTTCCCAATTTACTCCCACCCACTTAGACATGAGTTGAGTTCAATTGACCAAAATAGCCCTTTTGTAAATGCAAATTATAAATAAAAATTAACAAACAATATCACAACTGGAAGAAATAATAGGGTTTACAGCAGTGGCGTCACAAGGGGGGTGCTGCTCGCACCTGGCTGACACCATTGGAGGGGTGGCACCAAAATGACTGACAGTTATTTTGGTGTCACCCCTCTCTGAAAAGTCAGGCACTCGGTCAAGGAACGAGAGCCCGACAGTTGCTCAAGAGAGGAGGCATACCTTATCCCACCGGGTGACATCCCCTCCTCTCTCTGACGGCATCCATCATCAAAATGCCCACCGGCAGGTAACAGCGATGCCATGCGTGACGTCATCACGCGCATGTGCGATGACATCACGCTCCTACGCTATGGCGTCACTGCGGGGGTGTCACCCGGTCCTTGAGGGCACCTTAAAGTGACACTAAACTCAGGAGGTAAATCTTAAAAATACATTGAAGTATCCTAACTATTAACAAAAATGTATCTTATTTGTGTATCACTCGGCTGTAGATCCTCTAAAAGTGCCGCTTGCCCCAAATCCCGCTTGAACCTCTGTCCATGCAGAGCCGAGTCCAGCGCTTTCCTCCCCTCCACTCCGCCTTCCCGGCATTGCGTTTACCCATAAATTAGAGATGCGCTTTAATTGGCGTTTCAGTGTCACCCACAACTTCCAACGAGCATTTGATTTGTGCAGGAAAGTTGTGTAGGCGCTACTTTGGCTAGAGGCAACGGCCTGCCATCTCAACGACATTTCCC